CCACCGGAGCCCAAATCCCCTTTACAGCGGGTGGCCTGGGATTTCCAAGGGCTCTCCTTATCTGCTAACAGCAAATCCCAGTGTCGGGAGGAGCGGGGCCTCTGCTGAAGCCATTCCCAGGAAGTCAGGGACTCCACCCCTGGCTTTGCCTGCAACGGTGCCTGTGGAAAGTCTGAGCTCATGTATCCTGTGCTAGTCAGCTACTCAGCCGGCCTGGTCCCTACAATACATCCTTATCTAGCTAGCGTCCCCCATGCGCCCTGCTGTGCCATGCTGCCGCACAGAGAGAAAGAGGCTTTGACAGGCAGACGAAATAGTCCTTTGCCCTTCCTGGCGCCGTCCATTGAGGATTTCGATGCACTTCACAGGCACTCATGAATTAAGGCTCACAGCCCCATCCCTGGGAAACATCCATCCCTGTTTTATAGATGGAGAATCCCAGACACAGAGAGGGTCTGGGTGCAGCCTCTGGAGAAGGGGAGAAGAAGTGGGGCTGGATTTTTGTGCCCACGTGGAATGGGTTCTGGGTGTGGCTGCCTGGCCAGAGGAGAGCCAGAGCTGCATTTCTGCCTCTGCTAGCCTGGATTCTGGCTACACAGCACCAAACCAAAGGGTTATTTGGAGTGCGTTTCTGGCCCAGAGGTGGAGAGATTCCCAATGAGACTGATGAGCCCTGATGGTGACTGTGTCTCCTGGAAGACAGATCAGGGTGACATATCTTGGGACCGGCGGATGCTCAACCTTTGGGGGACCTTGGTCCCTCCCCTCTTCCATTTCGGGAGGCAATGGCTGAGTGTTATAAGCCTCAGGTTTGAAACTCCAGAGCTCCTCAGAATCAAAGGCTAAAAGCCCAGCAGGGCCACTTCAGCTTTTCAATATTCCATGGTAAAAAAACACTGAGTTCCAAGAACGTATTGCATGTGAGCCTCTCCTGGAACAATGGCCTCCGGTGCAGGTGTGCAAAATTCTCATTATACAGGGGTATAATGCACCTTGGTCCTAGATAGCACTGCTGTGCAATGAGCTGCATGTCACCCCTCCAGCCCAGCCCAGAGGTGGCCACATCTCAGAGTCCCATCAGGGTGAAAGTTGCTATGGAAACTTAAGAGATTGACTCAGTGCAAGACAGTGTAGACCCTCCCCATTCGGAGTATGAGGATTTTTTGCTCTCTCCCCACTCCCGCCCTAAAGGAGAATTTCAGAGAAAAGCAAGAAACTGGTAAAAAAAGGAAAAGAGGGGAATACAATCCCTCCCCTTCCCATTCCCTCCCTCTGACGGCCCCAGCCCCTTCTGTGCTGGGTTCTTTTCCTTCCCAGAACTGCACGGCTGCCTATTAGCACTCCAGGGCCGTGTGCTAAGTGCAGCCAGGCTGCTGCCCTTGCTCCCCACCGGGGCCTTCTCACCCAGCGTGCTGGCTGGGACAAAAAGCGTAATTAACTCTGCTCTGACTGTCAGCGCCCGGTCAACAAGCGCCTGCGATAACAAGCCTCGGAGCTGGGCCCTGGCACAGGACCACCTGCCCAAGGCAGGGCGGGGCGGGGCGGGGGGCGTGCTGCAGTCCCACGAAGGGGAGACAAACTCCTGCTGAGGAAAAGCCAGACGGAGCGGAGCCTGTTCGACTCCGCTGGGCTGAGGGAGGCCGAGGCCTCTGAACAATAAACCCATTGTGTCCCCCCCTCCCTCCGACTGGAGGGCAGGACTTACCTACAGCATCAGCGGCTGGGGATGGCAGGTGAACCTGGCCTCCTGGGCTGAATGCTTCAGTTGGCATTGCTGGGGGAGTCCCTTACAGACTGCCAGACAAACGCCAGCCCGGCCCGAGCCAGGGCCGGGAGGGGAACTGGCCCCTGAGGGGTCTTGGCATGTCTGGGTCTGCGCCGTGCCTGTTATATGACGGAAAGGCAAAGGTCCCCCGACTGTTGTCAGGGAGACTGAGGCGAGGCCTGGGCTTGTGCTGATTGGCTCAGAGCATGGAAAGCGCTTCATTCTCACGACCGCTCCACATCGGGCCCCGCGCTTCTTTGGATAATCTGGGCCCAGGCGTCCAGAGCGCCGTATAACCAGAATGAACCCTCACAAGCCCCTGCACTAGGTCCTTTTACAGATGGGGAAGTCGCCCTTTTACAAATGGGGAAATTGAGGCATGGAAGGAAAGAGGCCACTGATTTTGGGTGCCTCGGGGTTTCACCAAGCAGCTTCTGCCCATCCAAAAATCAAGACAATCAGCATGAGGAGCTACTGCCGAAAAGGTTGACCTGCTCCGGGTCACCCCACAAGCCTGTGTCAAAGGCTCCCTGGGGATCCTGGCCCCTGTGCTTAGGCCACAGGCGTGTTTTCATGTGTCCTCTGACAGCCGTAGAATTGAGCTTGGTTTGGATGCTAGTTCCCAGAGTTTGGAGGAGGACAGTGCTGGATAAAGGCTCCCCACTTTGGTCCCAAGCAGGGCCCGCGGAGCCCTCCCTCCCGGAGCCTCAGCAGTTGGCAGCTGCTCTGAAGGCCGAAGCAGATGGAACCCAGGAAAGCTGGAGCATATCGAGTCTCTCCCTTTGAGGTGGCACATGCCCCCTCTTCCCTGCTGTGGGCACTGACAGACTGGCAACCTCTTGCAGCCTGGGAGGCGAGGAATGGGGGAGATGGAGGTGTGTGTAATAACTGGGCAAATTGCCCCCCACCACAGCCTGCAACACAGGGAGACTAGAGACGGCTCCGGAGTTGGATTACTCTGGTCCCTGCTAGCCTGGCCCAGTGAGACAGGCCACGACTGCAAGGATGCGTTTTCCAGGCAGTGGGTTGGGGGGCGGGGGTATTGATCAGAGATGTCTCCAGCTGGCAAGTGCGTCTGGAGGGCAAGGCTTGGGTTTCAGCTCTCAGGACAGAGAGCAGCTCGGGGAGAGTGGGGGCCGCAGAGGAGACGCCAGTTGTGGAGCTGATAAGGTTCTGGCTGGGAGCGGGGCTGCTGCATAGCTCTGTTGTGTACTGCCTCCCCGTGTGAGAGGTGCCCAGATGAGGGGGAGGGTGCACCAGCACTCAGAGATGGATCAGAACCGGAGCCGGTAGTCTGACCCACTCCCAAACTCCACGGCTCAGGTAAAGTGGGACCCATGTCAGAACTTCACCCCTGGTGGTGCAAGATCCAAACCCGATTGATGAGGCTTTGCACCCTCCAGAACAGCCCTGGTTTTGCCCATCTCTGCCTGGCTATTAACCTTGGGGTATTGAGGGGTTGGCAGTAACCCCTGACGGGGGTGATGCTGTAACTGGGGAAGAATCCAGAGTCCAGAGTCTGGGGGTATTAGAGCCCCACCAAGCGGTCATGTTAGGGGGCACTGCCAAAGACTGGGGACTGGAGACATCAGTAGGCCCCAGGGGGACACAGTAGAGCCTAACACCTGCCTCACTCCATCTCCCTCATCCAGGTGCACAGAGTGATGGGAGCTTGTCCAGAGAGCAAAGGGACAGACTCACAGAGAGCAGAGAGGATTTCCCAAAGGAAGGGGAGTAGGAAGGAGCCCCCTTTTGCAGGGGTGGGGTCAGCGATCCGTCCCCACATGTACCCCCTGCAGTAGTGATTAATTTGTAATGAGAGAGGTGCCAGGGCTCAAGCAATTCTTTTACTTTCATAACTGACGTAGCAAGCCCAGAGGTGCCGGAGCGATGAACTGCCAGGCCCAGAGGTGCCGGGGCTCAGCCCTGGCAAGCTCTGGCACAAATGAAGCACTGCCCCGAAAGGCCCCACCCTCCAGAGGCACAGGCTGCCCCATGGCTGCGGAATGGGCTGAGCTGCTCCGCTGTCTGTCCGGTGCCCCAGGGACTTCCTGGAAAGCCCTTGTTGACCGGACTTTATAGTGGGAGGTGGGGGGAGCTGGGCAGGGCCGGATACGGAGAGCGAGCACGTCTGTGTCATTGCTGAGAGCTTGGGAGGCATCCAAATGCACTCTCTGTCACTTCCCATTGTCCCAAGAACAATGGCTCAAAACAAGTGCAATGATCCCACCGCTCAGTGCATGGAAAGACTCAGCAGTGGAGGGTCCTGCCTGGCTGGGAGCCCAACTGGCTGAGATCACTGCAGGCTCACCGGCGCTGCCAGGTCCTCCCTGCCCACGCCCTGAAGCCGTAGAGCCATCTCTCGGTGTCCTGGGCTCTGAGCAGGCTATGCGTGCTTCAAACCATGCCGTCTCCCCATACCCTTGGCTCTGGGCAGGCTGTGCGTGTTAGCTCAAAACCGGGGCTAACTGACAACTAATAAACTGTAACTGTAAATGGGGACTCATTATTGAGCAGGTCTGTTTCCAGTGGGGTCCTGCAGAGATCGATCTGTTCTTGGCTCTACACTATTTAACATCTGTATCCATGGCCTAGAAGAAAAGATAAAATCATCCCTGATAAAGTTTGCATATGACACAAAGACTGGGGGAGTGGTAAATAACGAAGAGGACGGGTCACTGATACAGGGCAATCTAGATCGCTTGGTAAGCTGGGTGCAAGCAAACAATATGCATTTCAAAAATGGAAATGTATACATCTGGGAACAGTGTGCCACTCCGCCATGCCATGTGGGAGACTCGGGCAAAATTCCTGCAGGAAGGGGTTCCCGCCCTGGGCCACACAGGAGACTGGCTAGCTCACCAGTTCAGGTCTCTTGCTCTCTGGGTGGGGAGCACTGCACTGCTTTAGGGAAAGGAAAGCTTGTCCCTGCTTAATAGAGCCTGCTCTGGCCATTTAAGGAGCTATACTAGCTCCCAAGGGAACCCCATGCAGGGAGAGTGCTGCTCAGCTGGTGGGGGATGCAGGGGTCTGAGGATGGCAGAGGTTTCAGTTTCCCCTCATCTGACATGTTGTTCATGGACACCTCCCCGGGTGTCTGCATCCAAGCTGCCCTGGCTGCAGAGACCGGACCGTGGGAGAGGTGGGGTGTGGGTGGGTGTGAAGAGGGGATCAGCGCGCCGTGTCTGGTGCATGGAAGGATCTCACCTCTCCCCATCTCTATCCCCCATTGCAGAGGGAGCATCTGACCCGCAGCCCAGCCTAGGAACCCAAAGGGATGTGGAAACACAGAATCACTGGTACATAAACCCCTCATCAGCATCTCCCCGCCCCTCAGGAGAGATGGGCCAAACCCAGAGTTATGTATCCAGCTCGCCCAAGCCCTCAGGCTGAGGAGATAGTGGGACCCACATCACCCCCTCATCCCCCCACCCCATTCCCCTTCCCAGCTTTGCCCCCTCCACTGTGCAGCCTCCTGCTGAGCCTGATGATGAATATTTCAGAGCCCGGCTGTGTGCACCTCACTTTGCATTAGCATCAGATGCCTGCAGGCGGCTGGCTTGGCCCGGTAACGGGGCGAGATGAAAAGCCCAGGGAAACCGGGGCGGCTGCGGATCCAAGAACCAGACATTGCTCAGTAGCTGCATGCAGAGGCCCCTTCTCACTCCCTGATGGCTTTGATCTGAACCTCTCGGAGCCTTGATTCCTCCCCATGTACACACAGTCCGGGCTCTCCCTCCTTTATTCCTCCATCCCCTGACCCACTATGGCAGTGTGTCGGATGGACCCGCCCTCGGGGATCATTGCAGACTCCTGTCCCCACTTGAGACAGGAGCAAAGGTCTAAGCAGCAGCCTCACCCAAGCAGATGCGCCAGGCCAAGTCCTGGCATCAGCTTTGCACCACAACTGGGCACAGGGGCGGCAGGCTGGGTGCCTCTCCCCCCCACGAGCTGTTGCCAGGACCCAGGGGGTCAGGCAGCTCACCCTTTGGGACCCTGAACAAGGGTGGAGACCGTAGCAGCAGGATGCCTTTGCCCAAGCTGATTGCTGTGAACGAACCTTCCTCCTTCACCCCCTTGCAGGACTCTGTGCATGACCCGGCCCTTCCCGCAGGCGACGGAATGGAAAGGTTACAGAAGGTAAATGAACTGGGTCAGATTCTTCAGGCCTCCTCTTTGCAACCACCCCGGACACCCTGGTCAAGGCGTAGGGGGGTTGGCATGCTGGATGGCCCCATATAGGAATGCAGGAGGCTTTCTCCTCCAGGGGGCCACTTCAAGCCCAGCCCCACTCTGTTTGGGGGCCTCGTGACACTAACTGGTGGGTCTCAGTGTGCTCGTTAGCTGACAGGTGTCCACAGCACAGAGCCGCTGGCACCAGCAGGCCCCATAGTTGGCAATCTCTGCAGAGAGATCAAGGGCCCCTCCTGCTGCTGCGGGGACTGCCCAGGTGCATTGGCAGAGGGCACAGGAGCCAGCACTATACCTGCTCTGAGGGGGTGCAGTGGCAGGAGAGAACCTGGGAGCATCCCCTGCCTGGTGCCACGCCAGGTGATGGGTAGGTGTCAGTTTCTGAGCAGGACAAGGGGTGAGCTGGCAAAGGCCGTGCTGGGCCCTTCTGCACTCAGCATTGCAAGGGCCACACAATTGCATGCTGTTAATTGCAATCACTAGATGCTTCTGAGGAGCTGGGGCATGCAGTTGCTGTTACCGGAGAGCAAAGGAGCAGGGTCTAGTCTTCACTCCGTCGGCCCTAGGGGCTCCGCCCCTTGCTAACTGGATTTTGGGCAGACAGCACCACCTAGTGCTTACTGCAGCTCTCATGGACACGTCTGCTGAAGCTGCTGGCAGTGCCCACCTGTGCACACCACTGCTGCCTGCCCCAACAACGTGACCTGCTTTGGGCTGCGGGAGTTGGAGACCTAGCTGTGCTCTATGGGGCAGGAGCTGCAGATTTCCCTCAACTTGCATGGCAACTCCTGACCTGGACCAGCTGAGTTTTAATTTCTAGTTGAACGTGATTTGTGTTTTGGGAGGAGCTGCAGTTCATAGCTATTCTCCACATTAAAGATTAATTGTTCCCTGAGTCCCAGCCTTCCCCACACACGCCATGAGTCTTAGGAACGCAGGGACTGCCAGACTGGATCAGACCTGTGCTCCATTTAGCCCAATATCCTGGCTTTGACCAGCTGCTTCAGAGGAAGGGGAAAGAAACCCCAGAGGACAATTATGGAATAATCTCCCTACAAGGGAAGATTCTCCCTGACCCTCAACAATTAGAGGTTGGTTTGTGCCCTCAAGCAGGAGGGAGTTTGTATCCCCTCTATTTTCTCCTGTTCTGTGGGTGTTCTTGTGACTCATATAGAACTCCGAGCCTTTTTGAATGCTGTGTGCTCTTGGCCTTGATAGTATCTGGTGGCAGTGAGTTCCAGAGGTTCACAGCCCCCCACCACCACCTCGTCAGTCAAACCTGAGAGCATATGTAGGCAAGAAAGTGCCAAGGAACGGGGATATCAGAGGGCTGATGTCCTTCTGGATTTCCTAAGTCTTGCTCTGAGGATCAAGGCCCTCCTCTCTGGGAGTCAATTCCACTGATCTCCAGCCCTTCCTACAGGTGCAGTGGTGGGAACACACACACGCACAAACACACACACACACAGGTACACAAGCACACTCGCACATGCACGCACACACGGATATGCACATGCAAATACACACACATACACACAAAATCCAGGTACAGGTGCACATGCATGCACACACACTATTCTCTGCACCATGGCCTTCCCCCTCCAAAGCCATATCTAGCCAAATGGTGCTAAATTGACATATCCAAATGGCACATCCATATAATATCCAGCTAGGCAGGGTGGGGCTGTTGGGTTTGGGACTGTAATTCCCACCTGGAAGGGAGTGAAGCTCAGCAGACGATGACTGCTACCCTTGGCATTGCTGCCTCTCTGTGTGCCTCTCAGTGGGAGCTTACCTGGGTTTTCTCTTGCCTTGCCCTGTTGGCTGCATTGATGAAGCCAGCAGCGGAGAAAGAAACTCACAGAGGTCTCTCCCTCCTTTCCAGCAATCTTTGACGTCCCCTGGGAGTGTCTGTTCCTCCCGCGGGTCCAGCGTCCCAGGATCACCCTCCAGTATTGTGGTGAGTGCTGTTCATGTCACATCTCCCTTTTGGGGGGGGTCTCTAAAGCACCCAAACTCCATGTGGGCAGCGTAATATAGCGATCAGAGCAAGGTCATGGGAGTCAGGACTCGTGGGTCCTGTTCCCGGCTCTGGGAGAGGTGTACGGGTTAGTGTTTAGAGCAAGGGAACGCAGAACTCCTGGGTTCTCTTCCTCACTCTGGGAGAGAGTCTGGTCTAGTGCTTAGAGTAAGAGAATGGGAGTCAGGTGTCCTGGATTCTAATCCAGGCTCTGACCTGCTGTGTGACCTTGGGCAATTCCCTTCCCCTTTTCTGTGCCTGTGTTTCTCCATCTCTAAAATGAGGAGAACAATCCCTTCCCAATTCCCAGATGGGCTGTGAGACCTCAGCTCCAGGCAGGAAAGCATCGTGGACCCTGCCCTGCACTGGGAGAAGCTCAGACACCTGCTTGAGGCTTTTCTGGTTGAGAAGGAGCTTTTCCTCCTTCACAGGCCAGAATGGACAATGAGGTTCTGGGCTACAAGGACCTGGCGGCCATTCCCAAGGACAAGGCGATCCTGGACATCGAGCGCCCTGACTTAATGATCTATGAGCCCCATTTCACCTACTCCCTCATGGAGCACGTGGAGCTGCCGAGGAGCCGAGAGGTGAGGGTGTCTCGGTTGGGGCCTGGTCGCTCTGTGTTTGTCCCCTCTCTGCCAAACCCCCATCAATGGCTGAACCAATGTAAGCTCTGTGGGCAGCTCCCATCTGGCTAAGGGGAGATGCTTTCACCTTGCTGGGCTGCCGGACAGGAATGTACCAGAAATCTTTACTGCGTATCCCAGTGGTTGCAGGATGGGTCAAGTAAATGGCATCTGTCTCTCTCTGCTTCCTCCCACAGCGGTCCCTGTCCCCCAAATCCATCTCTCCTCCTCCTTCTCCAGAAGTGAGTACTCCCACACCTTGCCTCCTGCTTAGTTGTCTGCAGGCGTCGCTTGCTCACAGGCAACAGAAACCCACAGAGCCTGAGGTCCAACCAGCCTCCCCCATGATGCGCCTTGTATTCTAATCACTGTGCTCTCGCTCCTATCATGATCACTAGGGAGACTGCGGGGGGGAGGGAGCCTCTGGGAGGGTCTACACTATGTGACCCGGGTTTGTGGACTTGCTGTTTCCAACCCCAGCCACGCTAACTTGTCCTACACTGCGAAGACCTTCTGACTCAGGTCTGCTGCTTGAGCTGCGTCCGCACTGCTCAGTGACAGGGCGTGGACTGGGACTCGGGCTCTGACCCACCCCGCAGTAGGGTCCTAGGAATGCAGACAGATTTGTGTGCGGATGGAAGGGGGCTTGGGCTCAAACAAGGGCTTAGTGGCTGGTGTAGACATCCCCCTGCAGAGGCTCTACCAGGGCAAGGCGTTACTGGGACAGGTGTCAGGATTGGTCCCTGACGCTGCCTGGCTGACAGATCAATGGATGAGTGGATCCATCTTTTCCAAAGGCTACTTCCCCACTGGCTCATCAAATGGCTCCTCCACTGTCCACACGCCGTGGCTCTGTCTTGAGCATCCGCACTACTGGCTGAGGTGAGATCAGCTAGTCCAGAAGCTCAGTGGAGTCAGAATCCAGGGTCTTAGGTTGCACTTGGACCCTGATTAAACAGGAGAGTTTTAGAGGCTGGATTAAACTAACGAGCCCTGTGAAAGATGAGGGAGATGGACAGCTGGACTTCCAGTATGCCTTGAGGCCAGCTTTGCCATGTCTCACCATTCCAAGTACTGTCAGTCTTTCCTGAGAGATCCGGGAGAGATTTCCCTCCCAAGGGGTGGGACTGAAATATTAGGTGCAGTCTGGGCTTGGCAGTTACGTCTCTGTCTGAGCAGGCAGCATGGGCCACTGTCAGAGACAGGCTGCATGGGGCGCTGGTCTGTCCCGGGGCAGCAGCTGCTCTGACACGGGCTCTGTTCACAGGTCATCCGGGACTGGATGGAAAACAAGTCCCTAGGAAGTGCCTCCCAGGCACCTAGTCGCCGGACCAGCAGCACAGCCCGGAGTGGAGTGCACCACTTCCACCGACCTGGTACGGCCCACACCCTGCCTGGGGCTCGCCAGGGCTCCCTGCATGGGTGCGAGGGCAGCAGGACCCCAACTTCAGGGCCCCACACCATACTGAAATCCTAACCAGAGACCCAAGACCAGACCCTGCAACCCCATCCTCCCTGCTCCTAATCGAGTGCCTTTCCCCCTCCACCAGCCTGAGTCAGGTGAGCCTGGAGCCAGCACCTGAACCCAGCTCGGGGACTGGGACCCACTTGTCCTTCCTCCCAGATCCCACCAGCATGGAGCAGGGTGAGCGCTGTTCCGCATACCCAGAGAGCAGGGACAGCAGGAGGGCAAGCCTCCCCCACCAGTGGGGCCCTACCTCCTCTAGGAGTGAGAAGGAAGCTCAGCTGTGGCTGCCCATTGGTGCCAGTGGTGGCGGTGGGGTTGGCTCACTGGGTTGCCCGCTCCGTCAGTGGCATTTCTCACCCTCCTCTTCCCCTCCCCTCCTCTAGAGACCAACACCATGGAGCTGAACATATACAAGAAGCCGCCGATCTACAGACAGAGAGGTGAGCGCGGCTGCTTCCTCACCCCGGCCTTTGGGTGCTGGGTTGGGACATTTGGGGGAGGGGGCGCAAGGCGACGGGGAAGCCAGGCCTCAATTTTCTGTCCCTCTGTCTATTTCAGAGCCCTCGACGGGAGCCCCACAGAGCAAGCACATGATAGAAGACCAGATAATTGAGTGCTCCAAGTTCCCTGCAGCCCAGGCCCCGGATCCCAACCAGCCAGCCAAGATCGAGACGGATTATTGGCCCTGCCCTCCCTCCCTGGCCGTCGTAGGTAGGTGATGGCAGGGTGTTTTACCTACAGGTGGGCGACTCTTATCAGACCCCCCCCCCCCAAGCTGAGCGGGGTCAGTACTGAGATGGCAGACCACCAAGGAAAGCTGAAGCGTTGATCTGAATCAGCATCGAGGCCCCATTATGGTGACTGAGGGGGCTGGGCAGATGGGACATACAGCCAGGGCCCTGACCTCTTGTGGTCATGAAAGATTCCCTGGCAATTTTTGCTAGCCCAGGTGTTGGGGTGATGCATTCTGCCTCCCTAAATTTCCCCAGTGGGGAAAGGATCCAGCCTCCCTCTATCTCCCTGCCCCCTTGATTCAGAGTCTTGCTCTTGCCCCGCACCCTGATGCCCTCTTTGGGTCCCCAGAGAAGGAGTGGAGACAGCGGAAGGCCTCCAAGAAAGGCATGGAAGAAGAGGAGGATCTCACGGAGGAAATGACTAACCTGCATGAACTGCAGAAAGAGGAGCTGAGTAAGGTAGGATGACCTTGGAGGTGCTGGGGCTCCAGGAGGGCTGAGTCCTGGACTGTGCTGGGACTAGAGGGGGCTCCAGCTTGGAGGATGCTGGGATTTGAGGGGGGGCTGCTCCTTGGAGTATACTGGGGCTGGAGGGGGCTGCGTCCCGGCACTGAGTCCTACCTGACCCTGACTACTCCTTCTCCTCAGGTCACCTCAAACCTCGGGAAGCTGATCCTGAAGGAGGAGATGGAGAAATCTCTCCCCATCCGGAGGAAAACCCGCTCACTTCCAGACCGAACGCCCTTCCACACCTGTGCGTGGGGCCAGGCAGTGTCCCAGACATGCCCTCCTCTCCTCTTCCCCCTCTCTGATGCTGAGATCCCCTCCCCAGTCGTTTCCTGCCATCCACGGGAGCAGCATCCATTTTAAGTCGATACCCTGACAAGTGACATTGTTTTGGTATCGTTCCAGGTGTTGGTTTTATTTAAATATTGATTGTTAGTGTCTGGGACTGGAGTAGCCCAGAACTCACCCCACAGCCAGTTCTCCTGGTCTGCTCCATGCAGCACCCTCTGCTAGGAGAGGCCGGGGCAGGAGTCACGGGGCGCTCCCCCCGGACCATCCCCTGCACTGCTTTGTACTAGGATTGCTGCAGGAACAATCAGCCCAGAGGTGATACTGGCTCTTGCTCTTTTTCAGCTCTGCACCTGGGGAATTCCAGATCCTCCACCCTTCCGGCCTATGGGAGAAGTACCCTCAGCAGGGTAAGGCACTGGGCGACTGCAGTTCCCCACTTCACCCTCCCCTTGCCTGCTGTGTCCTTGAGAGTGTGGTATTTTCCACATATTGTTCTTATCCGTTCAGATGATGTTCAGATCCAAATGGTGCCAAACAGAACCACTCCACCTGGGATCCAGCCTACGGTGCCCGAGTCTAGCCATGGCTGGGCTGTGTATCCCTGGGGGTAATGTCACAGGCTGGGACAGTCAGGAAGAGAGCTTGCCGGGAATTGAGAGACAAAGGCAATCAGCCAGTGAGAGCAGCTGACTCACAGCCCTGCTGGTGAGGGGACCCAGGGCCTTATGCCTTTGGGCCACTGGTTCAAATCTGGCCCACATCAGCAGCGATGGAGAGTCATTACCACTTTCTGGCTGTTCGGAGTCTTGTGTGAAATGAGTTTGTTGGGTCTCAGTCCAGCCCCAGTGGAACAGATCTCCTTGTCACCAAAACCACTCAGACTCCGCTCTTCCCCTTGAGCAAGGTGGAGGGCAAGGCGGAGAGCAATGCAGGGGGAATCTTGCTGGGTTGCCCCCTGGGATGCAGCTGCTCTGTGGGTGTAGAGGCCCCTCGTTCTTGGGGCTGTCAGCCTGGCCCTTCTCACCAGCTTCCAGCTGCTTCTTGCGTCAGTCCAGGAGGCAGTTTCTATCCAAGCACCCTGCCCCTCTCAGAGGCACTGCTACCCTGGTAGCTGATGCTGTCTGATTTCCTTTTGCAGCTGCAGTCAGCGGAGTTCAGCCCAACCAGCAGTGAGAAGGGGAGCCCAGGTAAGAGAAGCATACGGCACAAGGGACAGGTGCAGGGGAGATGTGTGTCTGGTCTGGTCTGGTCTGGTCACTCAACCCAGAGATGCCGTTCAGAGTCATCAGCATCAAACTCTTGCTCATCTTAGCTGGGCCTGTCGGCCTGATGGGGGCGCTGTGTCACACGCCCCATGGGCCAGACCCCACAGCTGGTGTGAATCAGTGCAGCACCCGAGCACTAACGGAGATGCATGGGTTTACACCAGCTAAAGGATTCCAGCTCATACCTGCCCCCATCCCACTGCTGATGAGCTCTGGGCCTGGTGCTCTCTCTTCACCTCTTGCCCAGCCGCACAGGATGCTGGCAATAGCTGCCCCCACTCATTATCCTTGGGAGGAATGGATGGATTTGGTCTGGGTGGCCTCAAGGCATCGGGGAGGGCTGGAGACCGAGTCCTGCCATTCCAGGGCACCAGTTTAAATTAGGCCTGGGATGGTAGCGTGCAGGAGCCAGGAGCTGCCAGCTGTCGGGAGGCCCTTAGCTGCTGGGTCTCAGTCCCCTTCCCAGCTGCAGTGTCCACCTGGCAGCCCTAGCAGAGAGGCCAAGGGCTGGCTGGCCGGTGGGAACGCCTTCCCCCCTCACCCCTAGACATCGGGGCACAAGGCAGTTGCTGGGCAGGGAGTGGGGGAAGCCTACCCAGCCGCTGCCACGCTGTGCCTGTTCGGGGGCCTTCGCTCCCCGGCCTGTCCCGCGCTGCTGGGATGGGCCATTACTCACGCCAGTGGGCGTCAATGCTCAGCCCCAGCAGCACAGCCTTTGCAGCCAGGCCCCAACTGGCTGTTGTCTGTTATCTTTGGATGCTGGGAATTCCAAAGCTTTGTGCAGCCCACAAAGGGTTAAATTGATATCTCTCCGCTCCCTGTAGACAGAGAAACCAGGCAAAATCCTCAGCTGGCGTAAGCTACATTGTATCTGTGGGCCAGATCCCCAGCTGGTGTAAAACCCACAATACTTCCATTGACCTCCTGCCGATTTCCACCAGATGAGGATCCGGCCCCTTGTTCTAAATGAGCTGGGACATACAGCCCCTGTGCCCACAGCTGTGGAGTTGGGGGGTGGGGATTCTAGCAGGACGTCTGGAACTGGGGTTCTCTGAGCCCCTTTTCTTTGTGTTTTGCAGGCCTGCAGGTAAGCGGTCGCCCTGCCGCTGAAGGGGAGACACTGGGAGCGGTGATGTATCTTGGGGGAGGCGGGGGAAGTGCCCCTCCCTTCCATTGCATGCTCAGCCTCTCCCAGCCTGGCTTGGCTGGCACCAGCTGCCAGGCAGACGGAGCTCAGTGGTGCAGGGCTGGAGTTGAGACTCAGACAGGACTACTGGGAAGGACAGGGACTGGAGCAGGGCAGCAGGGAAGGGAGGGGAGTGGCAGCACCAGAGAAGGAGAGAAGGGCAAACTGAGGAGACAGAGAACCCCAAAGAGGCAGGATGGGGATGGGAGGTAGGGGGAGAGGGAGACAGCAGAGGCGCAGGGGTTTAGGAGCTCAGGTGGGGGCAAGGAGACAGCAGAGATGTGGGGATTCAGGAGCTCAGGGTGTGGGAAACAGAGACAGGGATTTAGGAGCTTGGGTGGGGGCAGGGAGGCAGCAGAGTCACAGGGGTTTAGGAGCTCCGGGTGGGGAAGAGAGAAACAGCAGAGATGCAGGGGGTTAGGAGCTTGAGTGGGGGCAGAGTGCCACCCTCTCCAGTGCCTAGGCTGAAGCCCATCACCCTACTGTTTGTTAAGGTCCTTTCGGGGAGGTGGTGGGGACTCTGGCGTGGGAAGCCCTTTATGCCAGCCCAAGACTGACTGGGGGTTTGATGTCTGCAGAACGGCCAGCGGGGGAGGATGGACAGAGGGAACTCCCTGCCCAGCATGCTGGAACAGAAGGTAAGAGCCATGGCTGGGGGCTCTGCAGGCCCAGGTCCAGGGTCCAGGGTGGCCCAGCCATGGGCTGGGATGCTCACACATTTGCCTTGTTACCTGCTGCTGGCTGGCTGGTGCCTGTACGTATGTGAGGTGGGGGACATGCCCCATTGCAGGCTGAGCTGGGGGGTGTGGAGTAGCAGACGTGCCCTACTGCAGGCTTTCTGTGGGTGGTGGAACATGCCCCATTGCAGGCTGAGCTGGGGGGTGTGGAGTAGCAGACGTGCCCTACTGCAGGCTTTCTGTGGGTGGTGGAACATGCCCCATTGCAGGCTGAGCTGGGGAGTGTGGAGTAGCAGACGTGCCCTACTGCAGGCTTTCTGTGCGTGGTGGAACATGCCCCATTGCAGGCTGAGCTGGGGAGTGTGGAGTAGCAGACGTGCCCTACTGCAGGCTTTCTGTGGGTGGTGGAACATGCCCCATTGCAGGCTGAGCTGGGGGGTGTGGAGTAGCAGACGTGCCCTACTGCAGGCTTTCTGTGCGTGGTGGAACATGCCCCATTGCAGGCTGAGCTGGGGGGTGTGGAGTAGCAGACGTGCCCTACTGCAGGCTTTCTGTGCGTGGTGGAACATTTCCCATTGCAGGCTGAGCTGGGGGTGCAGGGTGAGAATGGGAACAGGGACGGGCATTTTAATGAACCCTTCTGTTTACCTGTGTTGTCCCTGGCTCTCAGATTTACCCCTATGAGGTGCTGATGGTGACGAACAGGGGTCGTGTGAAACTGCCTCCAGGAGTGGACAGAACAAGGCTAGAGGTGCGGATGGGGCATCTCGCTTGCCCCTGCAGTGTCTGGGCCAAGGGGAGGGAGCGGGGCCAAGGAAACCACAGCTGACAGATCCCCGGGGCTCGGTGGGGGGATGGTTCAGGGTAAAACAGCTGGAGAAATACACAGAGGGGAAGGGAATGGGGAAGAGGGAGTTAATGCTTTGTGGCCCCTGGACTTGGAGCACTGCCTGCTGCCACCCCATCCCCGAGCTGCCCTCCCCGGTTGCCTCTCTCCTGCACTCCCACAAACAGCCCTAGGTATTTCATTCTCTTGTACCCATGCTAAAGGTGGAAGTTAATTCGATTAGAAAAGGAGGGAGCCAGGCTCTTGCCCCATGACGACATGGGGTGGGCACCTGCCACAGGGGCCCAGGCACAGCAGACTCCATGGCCAGCACCTAGAGTGGGCGCATGCATTGTGAGGTCAGGGACTCAGCTACCAGGGCGTGGGCAGCGTCTGCTGGAGCCCAGAGAGAAGCTCTGGCATTCAGGCCTGTTCTCCACACCATGTGGCAGTGGGTTAGCTGAAGGCACGATGTTAAACCGAGACAGCTCTGGGCCTGTCTGCGCTGCAGTCAGAGGTGTGACTGCAGCAGGCACAGATATCCCAGAGCTAGCTTTGATCTAGCTACGGTGGGTACCAACAGCAGTGAATCTGTGGCAGCATGGGCTGTACAAGCCCACGTCAGGCAAGCTAAACTGCTGTAACCAGTTTAAAGGCAAGAAAGAGAGTCTACACTGGGGTTTGCATTGGTTTAACTAAATCATTTTAAAACTGATTTATGTTAAACTGATGCAACTTCTGTGTGTAGACTCTAGACTCATGTCTAGTGTGAGGGTTTGTATTAGGACTGGATCGGAAACCGATTTTCCATCTTGTGAGAAATTCCATCATTTCAAAAAAAAATTGAGTAATTTTTTGAGAAACGAAATTCCAGTTTTTTGTTTGTTTTGCGTTGATCAAAATGTTTTGTTTCAATAAATTGGTTTCATTCTGATTTTGATTTTTAAAAATATTATATAAAATAAACAGTATTTGAAATGAAAAGTTGTTTAAAAATGGAAAATTGAATTTCCCCCAGCAAAACGCAGCGGTATACGCACACGTGTGCTCACACACGTAGACTGATCTGGCACAAACACATCTACACACAAACTGACCTCACAGGCGCATACGCACTGATCTGGCATTAAACCACAGGCACTGATCTGGGGCACGCACACACACACACACACAGATTTTGTGTGCACACATGCACCAACACACATACACACACTCTGATCTGGCACATGCACACACATACACACACTGACTGGTGCATAACACCCACTGTTTCTCTCCCTCCAGAGGCACCTGTCCCCAGAGGATTTCCTGCGTGTCTTCGAGATGTCCCTGGAGGAGTTCAGCAAGCTGGCCCTGTGGAAGCGGAACGAGCTGAAGAAGAAAGCTTTCCTGTTCTGAGCCTAGTGCCCAGCCTGAGCCAACCCTAGCCGTGATCTCAGTTAGTGTCAAACACAATCTCGCATCACAGCTGCTTTAGGGCTACTGAGCCAGTTTTAACACCTGCCTCCCCTCCCTGAAGCCCCTCAGGCACGTTGATCCCTCATTCCCAGTTTTGCCTCTCCCTGGGGGATATCAGAGAGCCCCTCCCTGCCCAAACCTTCCTCACATGCCCAGGGGGGCTGCTGGCAACACTGGTGGGCTACTCAGTCTGGGTCTAACCTCTTTTAATGGAGCCAGGGGAGGGAGAGTTGAACAAGTGGCGGGAGGAGCAAGCAAACCCTAGTCAGCCAAGGTCCCTGGGCTGGATGGTGTGTAGGGGCTTCTCGGGGGCAGGGCATCGGTGTCCCTCTTTGCCTGTTGGGGTCGCGGCTGGTTCAGGCAGGATGGGAGCCATAGCTACTGGAGGGGGCTCTGGCAGGGGCCCTGGCTTTGCTCCCTCTGCTCAGCTTGGGGAGTGGACAGGACAGGGACACACCATAGTGCTCGGTTGCTGGACGCATGTTGGTTTAGGTGTCAGGGAAGTCAGGGCTACTTCTACCTTGCTGCTGGGCCCTGACTGGCTCCCTTGCTTAAGGACCCTGCTCCCAGCCTTACTGCTCCTCTCGGGGCCAGCCTCCCTCCCTGTCCACACTGGGCAGGGCACATGTATACATCTGCATAGCTGTAACCCTGATGGGGCTGCCGGGTGTCGCCATGGCTGTGTTTCTGAGTGGCCGGTCAGCAATGGGGTTGTCATTTGCCTACAGTAGGCTCCAAAGAGCCACGATTTTCATTAGCAGCCACTCCCCATGGACCCACCCACAGTTGGGGCCCCGTCCTTGTAATCAAGCAACCCTTGGTGGAACTGGGAGGGGGCACAAGAATTTCTCGCTGGAGAGAACTGGAGAATCAGAACCAACCCTTCTGAGGTCACCTCTGTCTCGCTCTCGCTCGCTCCTGGCCGCCCCTTCCTCTCCCCACTCCCACCACCCCTCCCTCTAAATTCAATCCCTAGGTGGACATGACCGAGCACCTCCCAAGTTCTCAACCCAATGGCCCAGGCTTTCAAACTGCAGGGCTCCCCATTAAGGCTACAGCCCCCACACCCCACCCCTTGCAGCTGCCTTTGGGGGAGGGTTGCTCTCAGCTCCATCATTTCAGACCTTAGTAGCTGATGATTTTGCTCCTGCCCCTTTGCAGAGCCTCAGTCAAAGCCCCGTGGCCGCCCTGCCAAGCCCAAGGCTCTTCCCCAGGTTTGGCAGAGGAGTTTGCCTGGGAAATGAGAGACTCAGGGCTCGAGGCTGGAGCCTGGAGGCAGCTCATCATGTTCTCTCCAGCCTGGCATGTAATCTCTGGCAGCCATCCCACGCTGTCCCCCTCAGGCTTCCCGGCTAGGATTTCCCCCTCACCGTGTACCCCATGGGGCAGCAATAACACTCTGCTGTGGAAACCACACCGTTGGTATACTGCCACAATCTGCAGGCTGTCCCCTGGTGACACAGCAGGTGATGTCCGACTCTGGCTTCCCCGCCGCAGTGCATAACCAACCAGGGCTCAGACAAGCCAGCTCTCTCTATGCCCAAGGATGGAATTTCCTCAGATAGTGGCAATATTTTGGAGCTTGTGCGGGTGAGGGGATGCCTGTGTCGATGCTAGGTGAAGGAGCAGAGAGGATGCCAAGGCAGGAGACTCTGGGCAGCTGCATCAGTAGCTAGGAAGCCAGGCCCTGCGCAGTGACCAGCAGAGACTGATGTGGTGCCGATCGCCAGGCCCTGGAGTTTGGAAATAATCACCCAAGATTGCTCTGCAGCCTGCACACAACACGCCCTCCCCCCCCCGGCCCCCAAACCCATACCCCCCACGCTTCAGAGCTGCCTGCAAGGAGCAGTGTGTCCTGGAAAGGGCAGAAAACTTACCAGTATCCTGGGGGGTTGTTCCACGCTATGCTTCTTGTTTGCCAGAGGGCGAGCACAGCTTCCAGCCCAGCTGCACTCCCCACCTCAGAGCCACCTCTGAGATCTCTCAACCAAGCAAAGAGTAAAAAGCTGAGAGACTCCCCCTTCCAGACAGTGCATTGATCAAAGGGGATCCAATAAGCCTATGTTTGGGTCAACTGGCCTGTCTCAGGCAGAGCCATACCCAGCGGGCCAGGAGCATTACAGAGGGGTGAGCCACGCTTTTCTCTGAAAGGTCGGGTGTTGGCAGGATATTGGCCTGGCAGTCCGCTCCTGCACATTGAAGTCTGTGGGAGCTCCCTATGTAGGGCACATGCAGGACAGTCCAGTGGTCTGATCACCCATCCCATCTGGGCTACAGCACCTTACATGCCTCCAGGAACAAACCCAAGGAGCTAACAATTTCCTTTGCTTTGGGGTCTTTTTAAAAGTCAAAATAACCAGCGGTCAAATAGGGGAACTGGCCCCTCAGAGCCAAACGATTTCCTGGGCTGCTGCTCCTTTCAGTCCCCCTGCTGGGTTCTTTTTCTACTGTGCACCACATCTGCTCCCCAGCGCTGGCCTGAGACCCACTCCCTCACGCTTTCCCTTTCCGTTTCCAACCACTGCCCCACCACTACACTCTATCAGGATGTAAAGAATGTAATTTATTGGGAAACCCCTGGCCCATACTTGCCTTTCACTGCTACTTATACAACATATCTATAAATATATATATATAAATATGAATTTTTTTTCTGATTTGAATACAGTGATTCCCCTTTCTCTGTTTATTTTTGCTGGTGTCAGAGATTCCATGTGAGAGTGATTTTTTGCTTATAATTAAAGGTGAAATGGCTTTATTCAACACCCACCTCTGCTGATTTTCATTCCTGTTTGCTTTAGAGTGGGATTAAATATCATTCTGCACCTTCCAGACAAGGACTGCAAAGCAGTTTGCAGGCCTTAAGAAATTCAGCCTCACCCACCCAAGAAGGGATATTTGTAATTCAGTGTTACAGGTTGGGAAAGCGAGGTCTGAAGAGGAGGGACTTGCCCAAGACGACGCAGTGTGTCAGAGTCAGGGATTGCACCCAGGAGTCTGGACTGCTCATTTTTTCTGTTCTGGCCACTAAACTTTATTTAGCTCCATGAGCTAGGAATAAAAACCCAGGAGTCCCTGATTCCTAGTCTACTGCTCTAAGCACTAGGAAACACTCCCTCTTAGGCCGCTGACCCCCTAGGCTTGAGAGCCAGAACTGCAGTCCAAGCCATAACATCCACACTGCTATTTTTAGCATGCTAGCTCAAGCCCCATTAGTGCAAGTTTGTCTAACCGGGCTGGAAGGCTGGCTCCCAGCTGCAGTGCGGACACACCAGAAGTGTCCAGTTTTTAATAGGTTTTAGAGTAACAGCCGTGTTAGTCTGTATTCGCAAAAAGAAAAGGAGTACTTGTGGCACCAGAGACTAACCAATTTATTTGAGCATAAACTTTCGTGAGCTACAGCTCACTTCATTGGATGCATACTGTGGAAAGTAGAGAAGATGTTTTTATACACACAAACACCCATTTTTTCATGGTTTGTGTGTATAAAAACATCTTCTGTATTTTCCACAGTATGCGTCCGATGAAGTGAGCTGTAGCTCAAGAAAGCTTATGCTCAAATAAATTGGTTAGTCTCTAAGGTGTCACAAGTACTCCTTTTCAGTTTTTAATACTGATCCCTTGCCATTTTCAGTGTTTCCCATTTGGATGCACTTCCCAGCCGTTAGCAAGTTAAGTCTCACAACTTGTTCCCCCTCCTCTCTCTCACACACATGCAGGGGATGTCTGCACTGCACAAAACCCATGGCAGACACTCTCAGAGCCCGGGGTCAACTGACTCAAGTTGGTGGGGCTTGCACCATGTGACTAGGGGGTTAAAAGTAGCCGGGCAGGTGGTCCTGCACAAGCTGTGAAACCCGGCGGGGATCCCTGTGAGTAACACCATTTCCGGGGCACAGGCACAGGCCGGGGAAGTTGACTTGCCCAGGATCACGGAGCAAGTCAACGGCAGAGCCAGAAAAAGGACCCCGGACCCATTCCCACTGCCCCTACATTTTGACACCACTCCTTTTGGACTGGGTTTTCCCAGGCCCGGGCTAACCCCCGTCCGCATTCCACAGCCTGACTCGGGACTGCGCCAGCCGCGTCCACACTGCAAAACAACAGGGCTGGCCCACGCGTCCCAGTGGGACCCTGGCTCAGAGACCCGCCCCGCCCAGCGCCTCCTAGGACCCGGGTCCCGAGGGCTTAGGTGCGTGGGGGCCGCCGCTGGGGGGCTCGGACCCCAACCGCAGCCCGCGCCTGCAGCCGGCCGCCGCGCCCTGCAGGTGGCAGCGCTGCTCCGGGCAGTCCGCACAGGCGGCGGCTGCTGCTGGCGCCGGCGCCGGCCCTGGAATCCCGGGCCCCGGGACGTGAGCTCAGCCCCCTCCCCTCCCGGCATGGGCTGCGCTGGGGCCGGGGCTCCGCCGCTCCTGTGCGCCCGGCTTCCCCCGGCTCCGGCGCGATGTGAGCGGCCAGCGTCGGAGCCTGCCCCAGCGGCCCCCCCCCCGCAGCCAGCGCCATGGAGAAGCAGAAAGGTACCGCTCCCCTGGCCAGCCCCCCGGGGGCTGGGGGCCCGGGGCTGACGGTGGAGGGGGGCGGCGTGCAGGGTGCCAGTGGGTGCGATTTGAACTCAGCACCGCGGCCTGTGCTCGCTGGGCGCCCATCGGTGCCGGAGCGAGGGGTGCTGGGGGTGGGGGCTGCCACACCCCCTCCCCCCCGGGCTTGAAGTGGTTCCCCTCCTATCCAGGGTTTGGTTCAGTGGCTGTCAGCACCCGTCGAGCTTGCTCCAGCCCCACGGCTGGCACGTGCCCGCTGCCGGGGTGGTTAGAGGGCGGGCGGCGGGTCCCTTCCCCATGCGCCGGGGTGCGCGTTGCCCGAAGGAGCCAGGCGTTGACAGCCATGGAGCCGTGCGAACGTGCCGCCGATGCCTTGCAGCGGGGGCTCAGCGGGAAAAGCCTTCCTGGGCGGTTCTCTGCTGTGGGGTATTTGGTTGGGAAGCCGGGGCTCTCCACGGGTGAGGGCTGTGACCCGTGCCCGGAAGAGCCCTTCTCTCTGCTGCTGGGGAACACCGAGAGGGAATTCCAGGAACTGCCATGTCTTCTCTGCCGTCGTCCACCCTTATCCCTTCGTGGTATGAGTCATCTCGCAGTTGGCCGGCACCGCTCAGAAATCTGGAGTCCAGGCCCTGAGCCGCTGAGATGGCTCAGGAAGCAGAGATCAAATTAGGAGAACCTGGGATTGGAGGGAAACGATTTCCCTGGGAATGGGGGGGATACAGAGGGCCTCAGGGTCTCACATGCAGGTGCCGAGCTCCCCACAGCAGCGCTGGGTGGCAGAGTGGGATGCTGGCGGTGAGACGAGATCCCTGCAGAAGTGGTCATTTCCCCCTCCCTTGCCTCTCCTGCATAGGGGGTGATAGTGCAGGAGGAGACTTTATCCGGGGTTGTGGGGTGGGAGTCACATCCCGATCCCGACTGATCTCCCTTTAAAGGACTGACAGAGGCCCCTGCTGCGGGTGGTTCTGTCTGCTTTGTGCACCCGGCTCTGAGCCTTGCATCTGAATTTCTGGCAGCTTTCCCAGTCCCTAAAGGTGACCTGGGGAAAAGGTATCGAGATCAAGCACTAGCCGCTGAATGGCTTTAAAACACTGGCATCTCAGACACATCCCAGTCTTCCTTCACCTTTTCTCCACCACCCTGCTATTGCTGGGAATGCACTGCAAATGAGGGATCGCTGCATCCCGACATCTCTGGGCTCTCCAAAGGTTGCCTTGACTGTGCTGGCTCGGTCCCAAGAGGCTCTGATATACCCATGTGCCCATGGTGGGATCTGGCTAAGAGAGAGCCCTGCATACGGAGCTGGGATGCTGAGATGTGTTGCATGCAGGGTGTTTGTGTGTTTCCTTGCAATAGTGCACACTTTTAGCAAGTGTTTAGCATGCTGATTTTACACTTGTTAAAGCCAGCCCCTTGGGGCTCACCTGAAAGCCAGCCCCAACCCATCCCGGCTTAGCCAAGTTTTGTCTCCCTCTGAAACTCAGGCTGTTATTATTTGGCCGTGCGGTCGAGCAGATGAGGCATCAGACTGGGAGCCAGGACTCCTGGATTCTATCTCTGACTCTGCCAGTAATCTGCTGGATGATCTTGGGCAAGTCACTTCCTCTCTCTGTGCCTCTGTTTCCCCTCTCACCCATTGTCCGTCGTAGATTGTGAGCTCTTTAGAGCAGGGGCTGTCTCTTACTATGTGCTTAGCAGGGTGGGGCCTTGATTTCACTTGAGGCCTCTGGGTGGTACTGTCAGGTAAATAATAATAGAGGTCTCAGTCAAGGATCAGGCCCCAGTGTGCTGGGTGCTCCACAAACATGCAATATAAAACCAGTGTCTGCTCTGGGGAATTCCCAGTCTGAGATGGTGACACACAGAGGAACCGATCAGTGTGTGTGTGTGGTGGGGGGATGAGGACAAGATGACAGTAAAGCCTTTGCATAAATGAGTGGGCTTCGTTCCTTCTCCTGCTAACATTGCAGGAAGACTGTGTCCCTCAGCCAACACCTGGCTGAATCCGGTGACTCTGGCTTTTGCACTACTTTAAAAAGGAGGAGCGTGGGGCTGGTCCCCTGGGGACTCTGGAGCTGGGTGGTGGAAGCCACAGGCAGCACACCGGGGTCTATGGCCTGACCCCTTTCCCTGGGGTGCTCAGCGCACATCACCTGGAGCGTCTGACTGGACAGCGGCCCAGCCGTCGCTGACAGCAGCAGGGGAACGAGGTGTCAGGAATGGGCTGGTGGAGGAGCTGGATTTTCCATGTGCCTTTCCCTGCACCGTCTAGACTTCCCCAGCTCCACAGCAGTTCCTGTTCTTTGGGTGGGGGTGGCCACTCCTGCGGTCCCAGTAAGGGGCCTGCTAGACATGGGATTGGGGCATGGGGACCTGGACAGGGCACGTTGCTGCAGGCGGCAGCTATTGTGGGAGGAGACGGGAATGGGGGCAGATGCGTTTACCTTCAACGGCTCTTTCTCGCCATGGAAACCGAGGCACCTGTTTTCAATCTCTGTAGCATTTACTTGGCCCGGGATGTTTGTGGATGGTGCGTTGTCAGGGGCGAGTTGGAGACCCCTTGGATTGCAGCAGCCAGGCCTGCAGCGCCAGGGAACGACGCGCACAGCAGTGCAGGCATGCTGACACGCAGGCGTGAGCACTCGTCTGCAGGCACACACGCTAGGAGGCATGCAGACACAGCCACGTGCCTACGTGTGCCAACCCTGTCATTTAGACAGCCACCTGTGCACACGCAAGCACGTGTGACAAAGCGGGTGAGTTCCATACACATGGGTGCACACACACCTTTGTGCACGCATACCTGTGCGACAAAGCATGGCGTACACACGCTCTCGTGCACACACAAACAAGTCCGTCATACTAAACCCCTGTGAAATGCACTGCACGCGTGCACAGAGCTCTCCCGTTGCTGACATTACAGAGCAGGAGCTCTGCTTCCCACAGGCCTGTGGGCGCTAAATGCTCTGACTCATCCCTTACAAGTTGGGTGGCTTCCTCCCCCAGTCCCCCGTCATATGTTCCTGCAGTGCGTTGCTTGCTGGGTGCCAGGCGGCGGGTGAGCCCCTGAATGAGCTTGTGACAGACCATCATTGACATCGGGGGAGCTGCGGGGGAGAGAGTTCAAGGCAGGGCAGGTCCTGTCAGAGCTGGGCCTCTTGCTCGGTGCTGTGGGTGCCAGCGGTCGAGGTGTGGGGTTCTGGGGAGCTGGGGTTGTGGGGGACA